TGTTGTTGTTGTTGTTGTTGTTGTTGTTGTTGTTGTTGTTGTTGTTGTTGTTGTTGTTGTTGTTGTTGTTGTTGTTGTTGTTGTTGTTGTTGTTGTTGTTGTTGTTGTTGTTGTTGTTGTTGTTGTTGTTGTTGTTGTTGTTGTTGTTGTTGTTGTTGTTGTTGTTGTTGTTGTTGTTGTTGTTGTTGTTGTTGTTGTTGTTGTTGTTGTTGTTGTTGTTGTTGTTGTTGTTGTTGTTGTTGTTGTTGTTGTTGTTGTTGTTGTTGTTGTTGTTGTTGTTGTTGTTGTTGTTGTTGATTTGTTGTTGTTGATGTTGATGTTGTTGTTGCTGTTGCTGTTGATGTTTATGTTGATGCTGATGATGATGTTGGTGTTGATGATGATGATGATGATGATGATGATGATGATGATGATATTGATGTTCATGATGATGATGATGATGTTGATGTTGATGTTGATGTTGATGCTGATGCTGATGCTGATGCTGATGCTGATGCTGCTGCTGCTGCTGCTGCTGTTGTTGTTGTTGTTGTTGGTGGTGTTGAGTTTGGCGTTGTTGTTGTTGATGTTGTTGTTGTTGTTGTTGTTGTTGTTGTTGTTGTTGTTGTTGTTGTTGTTGTTGTGGTTGCTGTTGTTGTTGTTGTTGGTGGTGGTGGTGGTGGTGGTGGTTGTGGTGTTGGTGTTGGTGTTGGTGTTGGCGGCGGTTCAATCTTAACGTTGCTGTCATCGACGTTGCCAGCCCACAGTACCAAACTACCAAACTTACACCCAACCTGCCAAACCCTTAGTGAAACCGCCAATCAATCACAGCCTCAACTCGCCGAGGCATCGGTTGGTGAGCAAGCATGCTGAGCAAGTTTTTCGTCAGCGCCCTGAGGTGTTCTCCTTCCTGGAGAAAACGGTTGAGCCGGAGAAGCCCTGCGAGCCGGAACAGGTTCCAGCCAGTTAATTAAGAGATATCGCCGATATCGCGCCAGGGGAGTGAACGTTCTGTCCAACAAATGAGTTGATAGGGGAAGGCCAATATGTCACCTACTTGGAGTTGACTTGTTTATTTGATTTTATTTGCTGGTTGATGCGAGGCCGGAAAGCAAATGGTTTTGTTGCTTGTCCTATTGCGGAGAGTGGCCATGCGCAACACAATGTCAAATACGGTCTTGCGGAATGGATTGTCTTTCACTATGGGCACAGGTGTCCTTCTTGGTTGTTTTGGTAGGAATATAGATTGCGATTCCTGGTTTGCCTGGTGGTTGAATCATCTACCAGGGCCAACTATTTACCCTAAAAGAACACCTATGACTATGGGTGCATGATTGGGTTGGAGCATTCAGAAAGCCCGCAGGCGTCAGACGTCAGATGTTCATGTCTCAAATAGTTACCATGCGATATGGCATCCAAATATGCAGAACAGCTCCGTGGTCAAACATTCGAATTGCTCAAAGTGAAGGGAATTCAAAGGTCGATGGGGTTTGCTGTTTTTCCTGGACACGTGTCCAGTGACTTTGGTGTGACATTTCGACAAACATCAAGGTGCAGGTACCGTCAGGCGATTCGTCACCGGCCTGCAAGCATGATTATTCGGTTTAAATAGAAGGATGTGCCTTCGCAGTGCTAAGGTCAAAGCGTTTGGAGGTGTGACAGATATACAGGGGGACACTGTAATTTTTGGGAGAACTCGAGATAGGGACCTCGGGACACAGAGAAGTTGCTGCTCTCTTGACCACTCGAATTAGTGGGTGACCGTGCCCATGGCTTCGGTGTGCAGCCAGCGACCGGCTGGTGCCAGTCATAGTGTAATTCATTGCGGGCACCGTTGTGCTCTTTTCAGGGATCCACAGAAGCAGGCAATGTGAATCAAATTATCTTGGCTTGGATTATCCTTCTAGAAACACGTCTTGTCAGCAGCTTAGTGCGGCTATATCCCGGTTGCTTTGCACTTGCGCAAAAGGGAACTTACCAGCCGGGGATGGAGCACACATGTTGCACACGATGTTCCAGATCTCAGGACTTTTATCCAAGGGTCACTTGTGGTCAAACCTCATATGTCAGCCGGGTGCCAAATGGAACACAAGGATGTTCCAGATCTGAGACCTATCTGAGGGTTACTTGTGGGGCTTCTTGATCTTGTTTTGTTCACGTCTTCTGGGGCCTTGTTGGTTGACATTTGGGCACGTTCTACTCAAGCATGACGCCAATGCCGGAGGCGATCCGGACGGAAGGTCCAACGGTGAAGCATAAGTTTCCATGGGTCCATGGTAACAATATGTTGTGCCCAGCAGAAGTGAGCCACAATAGAAACATGGTTCTTGTTGGGAAACATGTTGGCGACTTTTGCTTATTGTGGTTTAGTAGTTGAAATCCAACTACTTGGCTGCTAACATTTCATTTTTTGCTCCCCTTCCAACGCAACTAAGGAAAGCCGGGTAGTAAGTAAGGGATCGAAACGAGAAATGGGTGCCGCCGCCTTCGTAAAGTTCTCTACATGGTTGTGGATAGACCATCTAGGTCCCCAAAGGCCCTTTCACCAGCTGTTTTGGGAGAGGCTTCCCCTACTAAAATAGACACCGGAAAAAAAGTTGGTACCCTTATTCTAATCTCTCAAATCTGGAGGACCTAGCCATATCAATACCCATCATTTTGACTAAACTGAGCTTTTTGGTCACCTCGTTTGGCATGTTTTTCAGGTCGGCCTGTGTGGGTCTGCCAACCTGCAGAGTAGGATGGCGCTTCGGTCTCACGACCGGCTTTTCAAGGGCTGGTTTTTTTGTCGGGCGAACTTGGGAGACCCTTGGAGTTTGTTGTTTTTGTTTTTTTATTAAAAAAAAACACACATATATATATATATATATATATTTATCCACGATTCTTGTTGTTAATGGTTGGTGACCATGCGTTTGCGGTACCATGGTGAAGCGATGTCTTAAAGAGGTGGCGCAAGCCAGATCGGCTCCAGGAATTTTATTTGACTTGACTTGGATTGAATCGGGTTGCAGGTTCCTTGGCGGATTTGCATTACACACGTTGAAGGCCTATTTGTCAGGAAGGCGCACTAGGCCATTCCACAGATGGCCTCATGCATTACGTAAAACATGCACATGACTACGAGCATAAATGGTTTCACGATATATCGCTAGTTCTCAATCCACATGTGTTGGGCTGTGCTATTATTTTATCTACTGAGAGAGAAGGAGACATGTTAATAAAGTAGATATACCAACCAGTTTGTGTACAAATACCTGTAGAGTTAGGTTTAATACCAGGTTTATCTATCTAGTTTATCTACAAATCTTCTGTGAGTATACAAGTTTGCTATTTGATTGTGAGCCCATGGCAAAAGGTTACTGGTAGTAGGCAATGTACCCACAGCCTTGATCTGGAACTCGTGAATGCTGAAATCAAAAGACACCATTTCGATTGACAGCCATGATGGATTGTGCTTCGGGGCTTGGATCTATACTGTTTGTTGTTGTAGTCTATGTGCATTGAACACTTCATGTCACATTGCGTCCTGCATATTGAGTTTGACCAATTTGCTTTTGTTGGGGACATGCAGCAAGTCTGTGGGGTCTGGTCAACCCTCAACCGCTTTCCACCATCCTTAGGTACATGCCAAGGAGCGGCAGACATGTTTGTCAGAGGATGCCCTGCGTGCCATTGCGTTCGTCCTTTTTGAGCGGAGCCTCTCCCCACCCAAAAGAAGAGACGTGGCTTTCCTTTTGCCTCTCCTTTAAAACCTAACCAAAAAGGGCTTGTTGTAAAGGCAACATTGCCAGGCCTACCATCAACCGTTCATGATTGCTCGATGATGCCATGTGCTTTGTTGATCTGTTGATAGATCCTTTGCACGATGTTTGCCACGAGACTTGAAATCAAACAAAGCCGCCGGCGCAATGTCTAGAGAGGCGCTGGCAGAAATAGGTTTAAAACGCGTACTCCAACAGTAGGCTGGCCAGCAAATAATGTAAACATGTTGAGACAACAGTAAGAGTCTTCATTGCTACTTGCCTTGCAACTATCAAAAAAACCTGAATGATCAGAGATCTGATTGCTGACTTGCTAGAGTTTGCTGGGAAAGGAATGTGGCCGGTTCAGATTCTATGGATATCGCTCAATGTTCAAGTCCTCACAGACAAGTCTAAAAAGTGGGGAGACGCGCATTTTGCTGAAATGTCTGTTTGACCGAGATCCGGAGTTCGGGAACAATCCTTCACAAAATGTACATCAAAGTGTGGCCTCAAAATCGAGGACTCTCAAAATGGCTGATTTCCCACTTCTTGTGTTCCGACCGCCCAGGCAATGACTATATATTTCACGCATCCCTCAAGCCGCCCGAAGTAAAGTGTCACGGTCCAGACCCCGCAAGCGGAGGCTCTGGACCGCGCTATAGCCCCGCATCCCCGCGCAGTGCGCACTCTGCACCGCTGCGCGGCGATGCGGTGTACACAGCCCCGCCTGCCTGCCTCGCGCTTAAGCTACGCGCCGGCGTGCGCGCGTTTAGCCTGCTAACCAAGCGGCTGGGCGATGGAAAAGTGGCGCATGGCTTGGCCTGTTTTTTTTGGTTTATTTGCAGTCTCGTTGCATGATCGGGAAGACAGCGAGATCAAAGGAAGACCAAGTCTGATAGCCAGGTATTCGGCTTCACGCTTGTCAGCCAAATGTGGCAGAAATGCCTAGCTTCCGTGGCCCAGTCGCATCCACCATCAATAACTTATCACGGTTCAACCTTAAGCCTTCAACCACATTGTCCATATCATCTCACATGTGCGGCTCAACGCATTGCTTGGCAAGTACATATGTCTACATATATTATATACATAAAAATGCCTGCCTTCAAGTATATTATAAATGTATGTACATGTCAAAATGCCTGCCTTTAAGTCATCTCTGAATGACTTCGGCTGCAACTCACCGCTGCTAAGCCGTGCCAGGTGTTTTTCCTTTCAGCGCGTCACAGTCTTCTACCCGCCCACACTCAAGGCTTTCGAGGCAGGGAACTTCAAGCAAGCAGTCGATGGCTGCGCTTTCTCGATCTGCTGAGCGAATTGTTTTGGTTGGAATACACAGATTGGCAACTACAATGTTTTGTGTCAAGCGTGCCATATCTGAAACGGGCTTGAAGTACTTCTCAAAGATGTGCTGAAGCATCCTTTTGACACTGCCCAAAGTTCTGAACAGGACAGGTTGCCTTGTAAGCCACCCGGTTTGGAGAGGAGCGGTGCTAGTTGCAGAAGAACTTGAATCTGGTATCGTTGTCATACAGATGCGTGCAGACTGGTACCACAGGTGTCCTTTTTCCCTCAGTTTGGTAAACAACTAAATGGTTTCCGCTTGTTTAGAGTGGTTTTATGCCCCATTTACCAGGGAGCCCCATCTATCCCAGAGGGTCCCTTGGTACCTCCTAAGGAGGTACTCAGACCCCTTTTTACCCCCCAGAAGCCATCTTCAGGTACCTAAAAACCCTCTGGGTATGTTTTTCCACTTGGCCTACTGTAGATGGACGAAATCCTGCACCACTTTGAAACCATGGGAAACCATTGTTTCTTGGTATTTGCAGGGGAATCGATTCATTCCGTTGGGTTTCTCAAATTGGTGCGAATCGGATTTCGTCCGCCGTATGACTGGCCCGGGTGCCTGGACTCGAAGCTGCGAGGTGTGGCGGCTTCTGACCCACACGATGCTCCACAGCGATGTGGGGTGCGGCGCCCGAGGAGAACGACCTCGGTGGGCAAAAGGCGACCTCAGTGGCAACGAACGAGATTTGTGCTTTCCTTGACTTGATTCTGGGTGTACCTAGGAGATGGGGGGTTAAAATCCCGACAAGGAGTGTGGAACCTCGACATTCCTGTGGTTCCAACGACAAAGGAGTCGGTCATCTCCCGACAAAGAACTAGATTCATTGAGATTGTCTTAAGCAACAAAACATGGTTAGTGCGTGGAATACTAGTCCCT